CCCCCCACACACGGACCTCCTCCCAGAATCCTTAGTCATGTGCATAGGTGACAATGATTGTGAATGGTTTACATATAGAGTTTCCTACATTATATGAACACTAACGACAGAATTATTGCCCAAGACAGCACTATCAGTGATGGAATTTTGATTTTTCTCCTCCTTAACCTGTAACAGCTGCTTCATTTAAAAAGAAAATATTGACACAGGTGCATGGGTGGTGAATTATTTAAAGTGGGTCTTCTAGCTAACAGAAGGTCACCTTCACTTTGGATTACAACTCAATGTCAAGAAGACCAAAATCCTCACAGCCAGACCAATAGGTAACATCAAGATAAGCAGAGAAAAGGTTGAAGTTGTCAAGGATTTTGTCTGGCTTGGGTCCACAATCAATGCTCATGGAAGCAACTGTCAGGAGATCAAAAGATGAGTTGTAACTGGTAGATGTTCTGCACAAGGCCTCTTCAGAGGATTGAAAAGCAAGGGTGGGACTTTGAAGACTAAGGTGCACCTGACCCAAGCCAGGGTTTTTTCAATGTCCTCATATATATGTAAAAGTTGGACATTGAAAGTTGGAATTGGAATAAAGAAGGGTGAAGAAGAATCGATGCATTTGAATTGTGGTGCTGGAGAAGAATATTGAAAGTACCATGGACTGCTAAAAGGATAAACACATCTGTCTTGGAAGAAGTACAGCCAGACTGCTCCTTAGAGGCCAGGATGGGGAGCCTGGGTCTCGTGTTCTTTGGCCATCTTGTCAGGAGAGACCCGTCCCTGGAGAAAGACATCTTGCTTGGTAAAGTGGAGGGGCAGTGAAAGAGAAGCAGATCCTCAAGGGGATGGATGGACACGGTGGCTGCAGCCATGGGCTGAGGCATAGGAACCATGGTGATGGTGCAGGGCTGAGAGGTGCTTCATTCTGTTGTGCATAAGGTCGCTATGGGTCAGAACTGATTTGATGGCACCTCACAAGAACAACAACAACTTGTAGTCAAAGCCTCAAACCCCCAACGACATGACCTTTCCCAGCCTGGGTCTGGGAAGAAGGTGGAGGAAGATACTGATAGGATTCACCTGCAAGTCACTGTCAACAGGATTCCCTAGGTTTCTGTCCTGCTGAGTATAAAACAGGCCCTCTGGGAAGTAGAGGGCTGCTCATTACCAGCAAGAGCCAGGAGTGGAGCATGTCCTCTGGACCCAGGATCCCCACACAATGAATCTCCTGGATCCAGATGACAGCTAGACTATCAGAGGAGCAGCATCAGAACCAGGAGCCAGAGCATGCAACACAGTGGTGGACTTTCACAACCCACAGAGCAAGTTAAGCTGAGTGTTTTTGTGTAGGAGGTTGATTTGTGGAGAGGGGTCCCTCTGGGCACTTAATTAGGGAAGCTGGACTTGCTGACCCACGGAAATGGAGTTGAGTGCCTTCCGGTTGAGGCTTACAGCAGAGTGGTATGCTTCTTCGGGCATTTGTCATTAAGACCGGAAACGCTGTAACATGTCCTGATAAGCACTGTATCCTGAGCATTTCTCCCTGGCAGCTTCCTTAATAAAGCCTTTAATCATGAGTTTTGCCTATGAGTTCTGTGTAGCCATTGCAATGGGTATTAGAACTTAGATACAAAGACTGCTATTTGAAACAAGGTAACAAGTTCACACACCAATACCACTTAACCAAAATACTGTAGGTGAAAGACCAGAGCATTTGGCGAAATTAGCAATTATAGACACACTAGAAACAACTAATACAACTGCGTGCACTTGCAGCACATGCAGAGAAAACCGTGTGAATGGGAGCGCCAATGTGCCTGGGTAGTAATGACAGCTTGGATCAGATGTATTAAAAGGCTCAAAAAGCACTGGTTGCAATGATGATCGAGGTATAACCACCACCACCACCTGCCCACCCCCCGCCCCCCGCCCCGGGGATGAACTCCAGAAAAATGGGTGAAGGGAGACAGTAAGATATGAAAATAATAAAAATGATTTATAATTTATCTAGGGGTCACGAGGGAAGGAGGGTGGGGGGAGGGAAGGAAAAATGAGGAGCTGATACCAAGGGCTCAAGTAGAAAGAAAATGTTTTGAAAAGGATGATGTCAACATATATATAGCTGTGTTTGACACATGGATATATGTATGGATGGTGATAAGAGCTGTAAGAGCCCCCAATAAAATAAAATTGAGAAAGAACATGCTTTGAAAACGATGATGGCAACATATGTACAAATGTGCTTGATCCATTTGATGTATGTAAGGATTGTGATAAGAGCTGTAAGAGCTCCCTGTAAAATGATTTATAAAAACAAACAAACAAACAAAGGCTGGGCTCACCAAAAGAAACTGTTGCTGTTATAACTACCTACCGGGAAAACACACACACACACACACACACACTTCATGTGATTTGGGTGAAGGTTGACAGAGCAGATCAGCAGATTTACATTCAATGCTTCATCTACATCCTGCTTCAACTCAATGTGCCCTTGCTTCCCATGTCCTCCCTGTGTTTCCATTCCTCCTTTCCTAACCCTTCCAAATTTTGTCACTGGGGGAAAATTCCCTTTGGGTCTCAAAGGGTTGTTTATTCTACCTCCCAATGTTACTGTTCCTCTTATAGACCTGTGTGTATTGTTTGGTTGAAAAGGGAACCATGGGAGTGAGTTCAGCTTCTGGCCTGAAGGGTGGTTGAGGGCCAGAGTCTTGGGGGTCTACCAGTCTCTGACTAGTAAACAGTTCTCTTTCTAAACTAAATTTTTCTCCCACTCTCTCCATGACCTTCTAATGAGATCCCTTTCAGAACAGCTGGGAGTGGGAGCCGGGCACCACCTAGTTCTTTTGGTCTCAGGGATGTGGAGACCGATGTTCACAGGGTCCTTCCATTCATTAGACTAACGGTTTCCATGTGACTTCCTTCAATTTTCCTTACTCTTCTTTCCTTCAGACTGCAAGAGACCAATGGCTGTGTCATAGATGGCTGTTCTCAGGCTTTTAAGACCCCAGTCTTTGCTCATCCAAGTAGGATGTAGCACATTGTCTCTGTGGACTAATTGACCTTCGTGCCTCCACAAACTATGATCCTGGCCCTACCCCACCCCCCCACCCCCAAGGCCAGGAACTCATTCCCTACAGGGAGATTTTTCTTAAAAATAACACATTTCTGCGGAAATATCGCACAAACCACGGCTTTGACCTGCGCCCTCACAGTGACACCAGTGTCAAACTGTCAAAAATTCTGGGTTCACTGCAGCCATGATGAAGATTTCATTTTGTTAAACATACAATGAATTAAGTTTTATCAAAAATCAAGACAGTTGAGGAGCTGATACCAAGGGCTCAAGTAGAAAGTAAATGTTTTGAGAATGATGAGGGAAACAAATGTACAAAAGTACTTGACACAACGGATGTATGTATGGATTGTGATAAGAGTTGTACGAGCCCCCAATAAAACGATTAAAAGAAATCAAGACAATAAATACTCCAAAGGCCTGGCTCTCAAACTGTGAAAAAAACTGTTTCATTGTCCCTTTTTGCTGAGGGGAGTCCAGCTGCCGTGCCCATGTGGCAGGAATGCTCCAGCCCAGCTCCACACAGTTGCTTGACACAACTACAGGGGGAAGATTCACAGCACAGATCCCCCCAAATCCTGACTTTTTGTTCTGAACCGTTTATCTCTTCCCCACCCTCCCCGCCCACTCCCATTGCCCTTCTCTATCAGCTCAGAGCTGTCCTGGGGTGGTTGTGGAGGAAGCAGCCTGTCGAGGTAGGCTTGCTGCCACCAGGGAGGCCCCAGGCACGCTGGGGGGCTGGAGGGGGAATGTTCAGGTGACAGGAGAACCACAGGCTTGTCTTTCTCCCTCTCCCTGGAATCACACTGTAGTAGTGTTGCTATGGAAACTGGTGCCAGGCAGTGGGGCTTGTGCAGGGTGGGCTGGATGTCAGAGGGGGATGGGTGCATGTACAGACCCAGCAGCTCAAATCAGAATGCTGGTCTGTGGGTACCAGGCAGCCTGCGCTTGCTTTTCCCACTCTCGTATCATGGCTCTTCTAGGGGCAGCGCCTGCAGGAGGCAGGTAGGGCCAGCTGAGTCCCCAGGGGCCAGGGCTACTGAAAAGGTGGAGAACCACAGGGAAGAGGCAAAGAAGGCGGATGTCAGGCCCCTGGTATTGTTACCAGGCAGGGAGGGAAGCACACCCAGTCGTCAGCCCACCGGAGCACCTCAGAAGGTGATGAGGGTGGGCAGTTAGCCCGCTGAGGTCCCAAGGCAACGCTATACTGAACTTGTTCAAAACCAGGCCTGCTTCTCCTCCAGACTCGCATTCTCCCAAGCCTGCATCCCCCAGAAAAAGCAATCACAGACCCCTCCTCACAGCATGCGCCCCCCAGCCCTCTTCCAGCAGCCATTCCATTAGAGACCTCACCTTACACA